ATATATACTGTATATATGTTTTTTAATGTAAAGCAATCAAATTCAGCCATTGGCTGCTGATTGCTAATCTTATACCGGAATAAAATAAAATAAAATTTAAAAAAAATAAAACACGTTGTGCTCAAGGGGTTGCATTTAGCCGATTTATTTCCAATGGTCCTGGAAAATCCAAAATATCTATAATTGATTAATTCTAAAGTTAATGTCGCTGTATTTAGGATAATTGTAAATAGCTTAATCCAAAAATACCTCAGATGCCTCATGGTCAAATATTGTAAAAGTGTAATCAAGACGCATTATAAGGTTAAACATGGAATTAAACCTTAGATATGCATATATATCACGATTACTGTCGGTCATGTTAAATTGAGTTTCGCATTCAATCAGAGTTGATGTTAATTATTGTTTTTTAAAAGTGGAGAAAATGGTTTCTGGATGGACCAATCATCAGCACAAAGCATCCTAATTACGAAACACCTTGATTAACAGTCTCTCTGATAATATCTTGTACTCTGGCCGTTTTCTCTTTAAGAAACACAAAGAAACAGACATAGCGACTGAATCTGATTTTTTTTTTCTTTTGCAGTTCTCCATTCTTCTTCAAGGCGAGGAGATCTTTCGGCTCCTGTGATGTATTCAGGTTCGCCCAAGCTAAACTAACAGGTTACGTATTCTCTTGTCATTAAGTTTACTTCGGGCCTTGACAGGTAGCTATTCACTGAATTGTTCGTCGCAATTAAGTTAAAGACTTACTAACTGTTCTATATAGCTATTCGCTATCACTTCAAATCGTTAATTGAGTCTGGTAGTACATGGAATTAACTTAACAAATTAACAAGTCACTTGATTTACAAGATGTTAACTCAGTGATGAATTGTATTTGATTTCAAATAAAGTTTTTTTTTTTCCGGTGAACCAAATAGAAAATATCACAATCGAAACAATCAGAACGGACTCTCTCGTTATTTATTTCACAAAAAAAAAACATTATAAGGAATATTGTACTATATGCCTTCTCATTTGAATTCATTTCACCAGTTTATAGTTTTATAATAATTAAAAGAGAAAGCATGAATGTGTCATTGACCTGGTAGTTTCTCAAATGTAGCCTATGTTACACGATGAAATTGTACACATGGTAACAACTTTACAGTTAAACTTTATGAGCTTTGTTGAATTTTTACCTGAAAGTATAAACCATGCCCCCTTTTCATGTTAGTTCAGTTGCATGTATTAACGGTCTATAATTTAAAACTATGGTCACTCCAATAAATATGTTACACAATGGATATGCCGTGTAAATGCAAAGAAAACAGTTTTAATTTCAGTATGCCTGTGTAAGTGTATAGTATTTTAATATTTTAATTATGTATACTGTAGTATTATAAAGCATAAACCACGCCCATTTCTGATATATTCAGTTTCTGTTTACTGTTATTTTAATGGTCTCTTCAAGTATTACACAGTTTAAGGGACTCCCTTTTGTAGGAGTAACGCCCGGGGCAGCTTTATTCACTAAAAACTTTAAAAGGGAGATTTCTGTTAAACAACATTGGTTTCGTACTGAGTACGTATTAGCTGGCTATTCAAACAAAAGGATCGTGGAGGGACCAACACCACTTGTATGTGAGATCTTCTCTGTATGATACCATTCGTTGACAAGACACTGTGAAATGGCTAGCTGCTATTACAGCCCTTATCAGACCACTTCAGAACCGGCTTCGGACCTCTGGAAAAGCCCATCAACGACAGAGTTCGGGCTAGGTTTAAAGGGTAGAGGAGAGCTTGATTATAATGTCCATTTTCCATGTAGTTCATATCAACAAACGTATACGTAAGTATCCATGTATTATATTTAACGCAAAATATAGGCCTATTCGAAATAAGAGAATATCGGATTTATTTCACTCCTAAATTAATAGTTGATACAATTAAATAGCTTTAAATATATATTACTATCTGTTCATCTAATAGATACTTGTAGCATTTAAAAATAGAGATCAAATACATAATTATGAAGAAGGACTTTAAATAATTCTTCGAACTTTCAAGGGTTATACTGGTGCTTTTCTCACCAAACTAAATCATACTTTAAGCACGATCAAATAACAATATAATAATAATAATTATATAATAATAATACATATAGGCCTACCAAATATGAAGATCAAGAATAGATTGCATCCCAGTAATATTGTTTTCCCCTTACATTAGATAAAAAATGGAAAGCGTACCGTAATGTCGGAATACAAGAGAAAATTAAAAGAAGGAAAAGATTTTTTTTTTAATTGTTTTCGCTAGTTTATAGACATGTTACTGCTTCGGATTTTCATTTTCCCTATCAGTCAATGTAAGGTTGAAGCAAAGAATGAGGGACTTGATAATTTATGCATCCCTTATTATAAAGGTATGAAAATAGTTTCGTTCTAGTTTTAACCTTTATTCAACATTTTAATATTTTAAATTACTATATTGATGTATTATGATAATGCTTTCATTGTATCTTATCTTGTTATCTTGTTTTCGTTTTACGTAAAGAATTTCACTTGCCATTTTAATGTATTTTTATCTATATGGAACACATTTTTTTTTTTTTTTTTTTTTTAATGTTAATAACCCGAAAATATACTTACTGCTATTTCGATATTGGATAAATTAAATTGAATCTGAACTTGAAAGATAACCTAATTACACAAAGTACCGGTAAGAAATTACAATATTTATATTTATTATTCAAGTTGGTTAACTCGTCATAAGGTTTGTCAAATACATTGTAAATCAAATCATTTTCGACACTTCCATTCCAAACTCGATTCACATGCAGAATAATTGTTGGTATGGTAAAATAATACCGCGCGCAATCAGAACATAAAACCTACTTTATATACCCATACAGTCTTATAATTCTATACGTATTCTATATTTTACGGTGGTGCTAAAGTTCGTCACACGCTCTCGTAGCCTACGCTAGTACTGTAATGCCAGGTATATTGCCTACATGTAGGCCTATATTTTTATTTCACCAATGAATTTCAATGCATGCTTCTTGTGCTGTGTTGGGATTATTTTGACTCATGAATTTTAAAAAATATTCTTATAATAATAACACCATGCGTTTAAATTTTCATTGCATGGTATTTGTCATCTCCCTTGGTATGAATTTAACAAAATTGTCCAGTTTATATGTATTGTAATGTTCTGTTTTGGAATTAAAATAAGTTGAAGCGGGTCCACACATTTATAATACCCTGATTTCATTCACTTATTAATTATGTTTATATATAGGCCTATTTTTTTTTATCGTTTTATCATTTTATTCGCAAAACCCAAGTTCCATAAATAATAATAAAGACAGTATTTATGAATATTAAATGAGTATATTGTTTTGATATATTCTCTTACCTTGCCTTATTGGGGCCTATTTCCATTCATTTTCTCGCTTATCAATGATCTTAGTACAGATCCGCCATAAACATGATCATCAATAAGCAGAGTTAATACACATTTTTCATTTGTGTAAGTACATCGTTTTATTTGCATCGAAACTAACGATTAATTTCCGTGAAAATTATTGATATGCTTCAAGCAATGTGGTATTCATCTATCTCTTATTTAAGTAAGTATTAGTGTTAACATGAGAATTGGACATATTACAGATTATTGATTCAAATTTTGTGACCATATAAAGCTCTGCAATTTATTACGATTCTAGCATTCTGTGCATGCACATGTACAATTTATCTTCGTTATATTTTCCCCCATAAAATGGCTCCCATGACATTTTGTGATAAATCTATTTGTGGCTCGCATTAAAAACACTTCATCATTTTGTACATCTTATAAAAATATCGTTAGCTTTCTGCCTTACGATTGGATGCTAGTATAAAGGCTTGGTTTATATCTAATTCGACGCGTTAAGCAAGACACTCAATGTGCCCGTCGACGGTTGTCAGCCGACGCGATTCTGTGGAGAACGCAGCGCCACGACGCGCACGCAGCGGATCGTTTTCAAGGCCCTGGTTTCTTTAAATTCGCAATGAAAAAGGCTCCCGATTCGACCGACCAATAGGCATTAAGCTTGGTTTCCATAAAATCGCTACACGCTATCGCCGACAGCTTTCGGTGATGCTGATTGGTCTGTTGAATCGGGAAGCCTTCCCGATTGCGTCGGGGACTTCACGCAGTGCAACGATTGCACCGAAAACACCGTAGCGACAGTGTAGCGATTTGAAGAAAACCAGGCTTCACCGAAAGCTGTTGGCGATAACGCACGTATAGCAATTGTATGGAAACCAAGCTTAATGGTGATCCGTTCAGACTGCAACCGACAATCAGCAGACGGGGTCTCTCATTTAGCGCTCACAGGGAACGGAGTTGGATTCGTCGTACGACGTAGTGTGTGCCCAGCTTTTTAAACAAACGCAATGCTACAACGCAAGGAAATTGCGTGCCCTCCTAATTTGTGAACCGAGCTTCATGGGCGAATCCGAGATAAAGACTAGAACAAGTCTTTTGACCAAGTCCTAGAAACAAAGTAACGTTCTTAAGTCAAAAATACTTTGTAAGCGTCTAGTGGCTTACTTTTCACCAGATAAGCTCCAAAATGATTTAAGGGGACAGCCCACTTATTTGACCCAGCCATTGGCTCAACATTCTCTCACATTTAGACCCTATTATTCAATGCGTGCCGTTGCCAATACAATCATTATCATCATCGTCGTAATTGTTTTTTTTTATAATAACACATTAAAAAAACCTGACATTTGAATGAATTTAACGTCAATAATATACCTCTCGGAATGCAAAGTGCATTTACGGGCCTTTAAAGAAGCAAGAATTTTCTAAACACCCCTTTTAGCCACCCGACAATCCCACTGAATTTACATGTAAGTACTGGTACGCGCGGCCCTGTGACAACGTGTCATTAAAGCTGACACTAGATCAATTTAGACGTTTCAGCACAACGCTACACCCACGTTAAATCAGAAACTGACGTATTCAAAACTTAACGGAAACCTCTTTCAAAAGTTGACTGACTCTGAATTATGTACGGTACGTAATTCTTTAACTCAGCTAATCGTTCAGATAAATTCACCATTGAAAGCATTTAGCCTAAGTAAAAATACCCCCAAATACAGTAGTAAGGATTAAGCGTTTAATATAGATTTGATTAACGTGATGTGTACAATACTAATTCACTGTTATAAATACAGTATCAAATTACACTAATGTAATAAATACAGAATCGAATTACACTAAAGTAATAAAGTAGGCGAAATCGCACAGTGAATATCAATTTATATTTCGAAGTTGGATTCTTCATTGTAGTTTTTGTAAAATGAACATTGCAATTGTAAATCATTTAGGCATATGTGGGTCAATGTATTAAAATCAATTTCATTCAAGTAAAGTGAATCGCATATAATAATTTGGCTTCCTCAATGTTCAACTAGAGGTTTTTGGAACCTGCGCCGACGATAAGCCTGCGTCGACGCCAAGAGACTAGTGCGAGCAGTGGCGTAACAAGTCATGGGCCCAGGGGCGAGAAAATGTTTGGGGCACTTTGCATATCAGTAAGGTAGTCAATGCCAACAAATATGGTGTGAGTATTTAACAATATAATCATGGAGGAATTAGCTTAAATTCCGCCATGATATAATCAACTTAATATTTTGCACACACATTTTTAATTTTAATAATTTGCGTGCAGCGTATAAATTAGGTCTACGCATAAACCGTCATTTGCGTACATGTACATGAATTTCATTTTGCATAGGTTACATGCTTAATCATGAATGTATTGATCTAAGTTCCAGTGAAGAGATGCCAATATATAATACGCATTATCAAACAATCATTCAATCAATCGTTATCAGAGGCGGATTCTGGGAGCAAGGTGGCTATCCCCACCCCCAAAAAAAATAAAGAGAAGAAAAAAGTCCAGAAAGAGGAGAGCACATTATCGTAGACCTACTCCAAAATTTCAATTTAAATTCCATCAGTGTCTATATAATAATTTAACATGTTACATGATCAAAGCTCCATAGTAAAATGCTGGGTCGAGTTGGTCGTAGTAGGAGGGGCCCCTTCTAATAAATCTGTGTGTTTGTGGGATTTCCGTCTATTTGGTTTTTAAAATTATTTAAAAAAAAAGTTACCGTATTGTCGAAGAGTTGTAACAGAGTGCTGGGAGGGCCTCTAGCCTGACGGGGCCCATTTGAACTGGGACTGGGCCCAGAAAGTACATGCGTTACGCCATTATAAAGGCTCGGTAGATAAGTGCTAGGTAGTAGTAAGGGGGGCCCGGGCTCACACCTTTTGAGTGGGGTCCTGGGGTTGCGCCCACCAAGAGCTCACGGGCGTTACGGCACTGCATGCAACGGATCGTTTGACCATCCTCTCAAACTCACCGACATCAGCAGACATCGCGCGTGACACGTCATCCGAAGAGCGGAGAGAGTTTCGTCGACTGCGTGTCCGCTTTACGAATACGAAGTTCATACCTTCGTTTTCGTTATTAGTGCCTACATAAATTAATCTGCTTCGCAATTTACATCGAATACATGAACGTTGACAGAAGTGCAGATGATTCCTTTTATGAAACTATCTCTCACTTGTTACAAGACGGGACTTTCCAATTCTGTACAAATTCTTGAGGCGAGTTGAATATTTACAATTCACCGATGTTAATATCATGGTCATAAATTTATTCAGTTTGATTTTAAATCGGTAATTATGTTTAAAATGAGACCGTTTTTCTACTAAATATGATCGATGGTTCTCATAAAACGGAGATACACTATGATATGTCAGATATGAAAATGATATTAGGTCAAAAATTCTAAAATTTATGACGTAATCATATTCGTTTATCATGTTCATAATGAGATTACTAATTTTGAAAACTTGCTAATACAGAGAGAGCGGCCAAAGCAGCGTAATTTCGCGTAGTTATGTTATTAAAAACGACATCCGCGATTTGTGCTTGAGATTCGTAGTTGATGATAACATGGAGCAACCACTCCAGGCGACATGCTGTGTGTATGCGCTAATTGTGTATCATGATTTATGGCCGAAGACATTTTTTTTTTCCATAACCATGGTTCCAATTGTGAAATTATCACATACGTCACATTAGATTATGTACTGTGTCTTTGTAATTTGCTTATGTTATTAACCTTTGGGCTATAGGTTTCGTATAGAATAAACCAGAAATTGTATCAAAACTTCATTCTGCATACGAAATTAAACGGTCACCTGTGTCGCGAGATGATGTAGGCCTAGGTCTTGTTATGTTCTAACGCTACGAAAACTTAAATAGTGGATTCTGTCTGTCAAAATCCGCGGAAACTCTTCAAACATTTTAGATGAACTTTAGGCTAAACTGTGTTGATAATATTTAATTCTCATCAACAGAATAGGTTGCTTAAAATAATCACACAAACTTATCAAAAAATGACTGATTGAAATTCCGTATTTTATCCGAATATACGCCCCGAGTATTTATTGTTTAAAAGGGTTTCTGAAGCGGAATTCACTTGAGGGAGGCGTTTATTTATTTATTTATTTGGTGTAAAATGGATACGTGCACTCAAATAAACGCCCCTTTAATTTCACTGTAAATGTGGAACTATATAATACGTTGCGTGATCATACAGATTTATTGATCCCAACTATAGGATAGGTTAGAAAAAGTGTAATTCTACTGGAGAACATAGTACAATGTGTTGAGAATAATGTCGCTTCGATTAGATTTTTTACAGTCTAGAGGGGCGTTTATTTGAGGAAAAAATATACGCCCCGGGGCATTTATTCGAGGGAGACTTTATTCCAAATGAGGCCTGCTCAGAGGGGCGTTTATAAATTTTTTTTTTATTTATTCATTCTGAAGTAATTATAAGTAAAAACATTCAAGGATAAAAACACAGAAAAGTACAAAAAGCAACTTATTTCCACTGTGGTCCCTAAAAAATACTGTTAATTTTTGTGATCCCTAAAAAATACTGTTTTGCTATTCCCAAATAATTTCATTACAAAAGCTGTACTATGCCGTATACGTATGATATGACTGGCAAGAAAAATATTATCACGTTGTAATCTTGAATTGAAAATCAATAACTTAGGCCTACTAATTTAAACAACTAAAATATTGAATTGTGTGTTTATGTAAACGTCAACGTAAGTACTATTAGGCCTATTTTATTAATTATATTTTCCCCATGTAAATGGATTCAACATGTCCTGCGGTTTTTAAAAATACTAACATTTTCCTTTTAACATTAAAATAATCACAGACTCTACTTAGGCCTATGTTTCCCACTGAAGAGACATGCTATCATCATTGTACTATCACTAAAAATCAACAGTCAGGTATAGTATGACGGACTGACGAATTTAATTGTCGGCAAAGTGACGGATTTAGTTTGAGTTTATTATCGAGGTATTGTTATTTTGTTATGGCTTAGCCTATATGTTAACATTCCAATTTCAATAGCTATGACAAAAACAAAAAACGAAACAAAACAAAACAAAACAAAAACAAATAAAAACACACACTGACACCTTTCATTGAAGCTATAGTGGCCCATTTTGTTAAGGCGTCTGCATAGACAGAAGCAGAAGGTGGAATTCAATTCCCGGTTGAGCAGTTTTTTCACACTAGCAGATTCCTCTTCTTTAGCTTTCAAAATGTATATAGGCTATATAATACTTATATCAGCACAGTGTAGCCTTCTAAACAAATTGCACAATCTGTATAGGAATCTGGGCGCCGGTTATCTTTTTCAAAATTCATTGCGATTGGTATAGAGATGTAATCTTCCCAATTCTCTCAAATCTGTTCTTCTGCTAATGCCTGCGTCCATTAGTTAACCATCGTAATAACTGTATCCGTAAGAGTCTTCTATGAAGCGACTACTGCTTGGTTGACGTGCACTAATTTCCTATGACTTTCGACATTCACATGTTCTTTTTGAAACAATTACAAAACACGCCTGTAACGAATAGTAGGTTTAATGAGGCAGACGCTGGGGAGAATAGAAGCCAAATTTCTGTCCGGAGGCGTTAGAGTTTTAATAAGCCGATTTAGGCTAAATATAAAAAAACAGAACGACACGGATACTACATTTAATACCTTCTTGATACTACCGATACCGGTATTGGACAAGGGGTACAAGCTCCACGATTAGGGGTCCACCCCCACCCCTTCTAGAAAAAAAAATTGTTTTGATTATTTTATTCTTTATTTAATAAAGATAATTTGATAGAAAACCATGATGCAAGTTAAGAGGCCCCTGTCGGGGTTACTAACTGTCTGTCGGAGGTACCATCCCCCTGTCGGGGAAGATCTGGCGCTGTCTCAAACAAGTAAGTTGTAAGGCTGTCTCTTATACACATCTAGATGTGTATAAGAGACAGGTGTAGCCTTCTAAACAAATTGCACAATCTGTATAGGAATCTGGGCGCCGGTTATCTTGTTCAAAATCCATTGCGATTGGTATAGAGATGTAATCTTCCCAATTCTCTCAAATCTGTTCTTCTGCTAATGCCTGCGTCCATTAGTTAACCATCGTAATAACTGTATCCGTAAGAGTCTTCTATGAAGCGACTACTGCTTGGTTGACGTGCACTAATTTCCTATGACTTTCGACATTCACATGTTCTTTTTGAAACAATTACAAAACACGCCTGTAACGAATAGTAAGTTTAATGAGGCAGACGCTGGGGAGAATAGAAGCCAAATTTCTGTCCGGAGGCGTTAGAGTTTTAATAAGCCGATTTAGGCTAAATATAAAAAAACAGAACGACACGGATACTACATTTAATACCTTCTTGATACTACCGATACCGGTATTGGACAAGGGGTACAAGCTCCACGATTAGGGGTCCACCCCCACCCCTTCTAGAAAAAAAAAATTGTTTTGATTATTTTATTCTTTATTTAATAAAGATAATTTGATAGAAAACCATGATGCAAGTTAAGAGGCCCCTGTCGGGGTTACTAACTGTCTGTCGGAGGTACCATCCCCCTGTCGGGGAAGATCTGGCGCTGCCACCGCAACCCATACGATCGCAATAGTATACACCTCTCACATACGGTAGCACTGCTCACACTGAACGGTTTTTAATTCCTAAACTTCGACAGGTAAGTAAGGCATACCAAAATTGTACTTTCGGCGGTCGACATTTCATTTTCTCCGACGACCTTGCTGGAAATTCCTCGACAGTGGGGTCCAAGCGGGGGTCCTTTGCCCTCCTGGACCCCCCACCTCCGCTAGCGCAGCCCCTGGATCACAGCTCACCAAATGTTATTATTCTTTCAGATTAAAATGTTAATCTTGTTGGAAATGTTATTTTTTAAATCAAATTCGTGTCTAGTAGGTGCAGTTTAAAATAAAGAGTAGGGGTTAAACTAAAATCTACCCATTCAGGCTGGGATTTTATGGGGTTTACTTGAATCTACTCACCTAGCTTGGGCGAAGTAATATTCTGATATAGGCTTAGTCTAATTTATTGGAGCCAAAATTTTATTGGCACGTTTTGGTTTTTGCAAATAGACCCACTAGGTCTGACACTTCCGACTGACATTTTCGTAGGGGAATTTCACTTACATTTATAACCCCCTATTATTATAGAAAACTTTATTATATCGTGTCTTACGTTTAATTTTCACAGAGATTTCTACCATTACACGGACTTACAATCAGAATGTCCATCGACAACGCTGTTTTATTCTGACGGTGCAATAGGCGATACAAACAGAAGTCTCCGTTCAAATAGTCATCACCGCTACTATCAACTTAACTCGGAGACATACTCAAAACCAACGCATAGTGCTTCTCAAACAAGTAAGTTGTAAGGTTAAGTGCTTCTCAAACAAGCAAGGTATAAGTTTAAGTGATTCTCAAACAAGTACGTTTTAAGTTTAGTTGAAACCGGATCTCTGACCCCTTAGTTCACATCATCAAGTTTTATGTTTATGTATATATACATACATATATATATATATATATATATATATATAAATATATATATATATAATCATCAAAGGAAGGTAAAAGGTAAATACAGTATTAAAGTTAACAGTGTTAACTTCTATCTTGATTTAAGTACATATATATATAAGCACTTAAATATATATATATATATATATATATATATATATATAATACAAATCAAATATAGCTGTTAACACTGTTAAATTATATATATATCATCAAAGAAAGGTAAACACATTATTTGGATAAAGGAAATGATAATACATCGTGTAGTATAGCTCTCAACGACGTTGTACTATTAATAAATAAATAAATTGTGTAATAAAATGCCTCAAACGGGATTCGAACCTGCGGTCTCTCAATGTCAGGGCTAGCGTCATAACCATTAGACCACAAAGGCTTCATGGTTGAACAGATTCAGATAACCGTTAGATACACTATTACACAATAGGTACGGCTGCAAACAAATAGTAGCATAATGTATAGGCTTATATATATATTATATATTATATATATTCAGTCAGTCTCCGTGGTATAATGGTGTTTAACACTCACCTTGATAGCGAGAGATTCACTTTTTTTTATACAGCTGGACAAAGGAACATTTTGTTGAGGGGCTATGCTTGAAAAAATTATATTCTTATTCACGCACTGTTGGTATTATTATTCATTATTATTATTATTATTATTATTATTATTATTATTATTATTATTATTATTTATCTATCTAT